ATTTGCATACTTAAATAAATGCATTTCATAATCTATAATCAGTGGTTCTCATCAGAATTATATTGTATTTCAGAGCACATTGATTGATATTGCCAATTCAGTTATTATCGGAATTATATATAATTTACTCACCAGTAAAGGCCAAGGATGCATATCCTTGTTGTTGAGGGGGCTGGGGTCCATAGCCAGGTTGCTGAGGGGGTGGGGGTCCATAGCCAGGTTGCTGAGGGGGTGGGGGACCATATCCTGGCTGAGGAGCAAAACCAATCTGGGGTTGACCTGGAAAGGAAAAAATTCAAATATGCAGCAATCTACAGTTAACATATTCTCCATACTGTTCTCTATACATTTCCTAAGGTGCTGATAAGGAGAATTTGTTTAACAATCAAGAGCTACTTTAGTTGATGATCATTTCCTTTATTCTCCTGACCTTAATGTGTGATTCAGGGATGATATCGTAAGGAGAAATTAGATGCTGGTAACCCTTTGGGATAAAAGAGTTATCAAGGAGACCAAGCACTTGTTACTTGCTGTAAATAAATAAAACGATAAATTTACTAATTGTAAGTAAAACTTTTTGCGACAAAGCAAATATTCCACTTGAAACATGCTTACATTGTGAAGTTAGGAACTCATTTTAAACCACTGGTCCACTGTCTAATCACAATCAATAGAATAATTCATCAATTTTATTTTTGCATCAACTGTTTTATCAATATACCTGCTTGATATCCTTGAGCAGGTCCGTAAGCATGGCCGTAAGCATGGCCGGTGGGTGGATAAGGAGCTTGACTCATCGTGACTGTAGTCCAACAATATTCATGCGTTTCTGACAGACAGCTGTTATAAATAAATAAAAACCCAAATCCCTTTAAAGACACTACACAATAAGGATAATAAATTAGGAAGGTATTGAAAGCAATGGCTCGAACTTACTGAAAACCGTAAGCAACAAACCTTAGTTTAGGGAGGGTCGAATGATCGTAAAGCTGCAGATTGTGGAGTTTGCCGATGACAGTTTTTCCGGTTTTGCTCGTGAAGGTTGAATATACCTTCAACAGATTTAGGAATGCAGCTATGAATGCGAGAAAAGAAATTTCACTTTCCAGCGATCGAAGACTTATCATCGTGCAATTTAACAAGTCCACGCCACGGTGAATGTTGAGATTTCATTATCATGCAATGTATATGTAGGCTGGGATTGGAGACATGTAAACAGGTATCGTCTTCGTGTTCCAAACAGACATTGAGAAGACATATTACATGCATTTACAGCTGAAAATTCAACAAATTTGTTGAGTGTCTATTTTCACATTCTCTGATCCTTGAATTAAAATACAGAATAGAGGTGCGACACGACGAAAGCTCTGTCTGCCAAGTCGCGCGTCCATGCATGAAAAATACATTTAACATGGTGAAAGTTAGAAGAAATTGCAATCGATCGTTAAAGCATTACCAAAAACACACGCACGAAAAAACATCCATAATAAGACACCTTACCCTAGCTAATGAAAGGAGCCTTAATTGATAGCTTCTTCGGACTTGTCTCTCTCGACTTACGTGATGTCCCCTCAGTTCACACGTTGCAAGAGGCGCAAACACAGTAATCATCAAATATTCTGCTCTCTGGGCGTGATAAAATTCCACTATGGGAGAGATGGGGGTTATGTGTTTCCCCCTAGGCCCTGGAGTGTATGTTAAGCTAATATTCAGGTGAATGAGGAGAATTGGGGGAGAGATACCTTAGCAAGAGGAAACAAAATGCGCCAAGGCATGCGCCAAGGCAATGCGCCAAGG